GTACGTCCACCGCATTGAATGCGGTTGGCGGACGTGACGTGGCATTAAATGCGGTGGTTGGCTGTCCCTAAAAGGAATCTTCGATGATTGAGTGTGCTTGGCCGAGGGCTCCTTGTGTTGCCGAGGGCTCCATGTAGCCAAGGACCCCTGTGTAGCCGAAGGCCCTGTGTGACCGGAGGCATGGTTTAGCCGGGGGCTTCTCTGATGCCGAGGGCTCGATAATGCCGAAGGCTCATGTTTTTCGCCGTTTTCTCCCAGTAGCCTCTTATGCCAGAGAAGGCTACCCTGTGAGGTTTGGAGCCTTCGGCCAAGGAGGCCGAAGGCACCCCAGTGCGTATTCTGGGCTACGTTGAGGCTTGGGCCGCTGCATTTTGGGCCTGAGTTGTTCCCTGGGCCCAATGAACTTGTGTAGGAGAAGTAGGAGTCTATGGGCCGGGGGTTCCTGGGCCATATACTCCAGTATAATTATTATACGGACATAGCTAGATATATAATATATATACGTAGTATAAAATACGAAATGTGTATACAATATATATTTCCTAAATGATTGTAGAAGAATAAATTCTTGATTTTATTAGCTATTTAAATGCTATATGTAAGTAATAATTAAATATTAAAGTTATATTTTCTGAAAAGCCAGACTCTTAGTCTGGCACTCTGACGTGAATACTTTTGTTCTGTTAAGTGTACTACGTACACTCCTGAAATTCTGTTTTAGAGAAATTAGTGTTCTCCTGTTTAGTGTACTCCGTACACTCCTGAAATCTTTTTAGAACACTACTATTACTCTTCTGTTAAGGATCAGGTCTCTTCGGTGATCTCATATTTTCTGTTCAGCTCCCTTCTGCCAGGGATTGGTACGTGTAGTTCCGGCAATTACGTTTCCATATCCTTTCTGGGTAATGTGGGTACAGACTCAAGACTATATTCCTTACCGTTAGTATTCCGCTGTCTAGGTCCAGTTTCTTGAGTTTAAGGCTAATTAAATTAATCTGTCTTATTCATTCTAAAAACTTTAATTATCTGATAATCGGATATCTGAACTTGTTCTGTTTTGTATGTGAAAATTCTGAAATACATGAAAGTTTACCCAGTTCACTCCGGTATGTTTATTTGTTCTAATGATCAAGTGCTAATTATGATATGTCGTTATATGCTTCAATGTGTTATATGTGTTATTACCATACCACTCAGCACATTGTTGAGCGGGTAGTTGTTTGTTTTCCTACCCGTAGGTCAAGCCCAAGATCAACTTGAAGCACCAGGATGGAGGGAGGCATAGGACTCACATGCATATGGTGTACTTTGGGGTTCTTTAAAGTATGGAATGTGTATTTTGAAAAAAACTTTAAATTATAATTTTGATATTTTGTAAGAACCTTCCGTTGCAGTTAAATGAATTTTGTGACGTTGACGTTATGCCTGTTTAATAAATTCGTACTTATTTTGGCCTATGAAAGTCCTTAAATAAACATGTAAACATGTTTCGATTTTTGCCTCGTGACACACCGCTCGGGTTGGTGGGGTCGATCCGGGTGGGGTGTTACAGTTACTTTTAACAAACAATCATATGAGTTGAGTGTTAGGAAACAGCAGCAGAAGTTTAAAATTTTCCCAAACAGATATTCTCTGATTATGCCAAAACAATGAATATAACAATAATAACAGATTTGAGTTAGAACTTGCAAATCTTCCAGCCTAGCGGTAATAACCTTTGACCTTAAATATCCTCGTGATTTCTCCTTACCGAAAGAACGGTTAGATCTCCCATAGAGAAAGACTAGGAAATCTCATGGAAATAAATGAGTAATACTGAATCTTGAAAACTGGTCTAATAAATATGAAGGAGGGGGATGTATTTATACTAGTTCCATACTAGTTTCTCAATCACAATGAAAGTCTTACTCGTTAATGAGTTCTGGTCTAACCAGGATAAATACTTATCATTATAATTTAATCAATCAAATAAATATATTAGTTAAACAATAACATTAAGGAAGAAGAGGGGCTACACGTATGCCACCTCTCTCCATTCCTTATTTATTATTTAAAACTCATTCTCTTTTAATTCTAAATTAAAAGGAATCTTTATTATTTAAAATACATCTTAATTAAGTATAATAAATCTAATTTATCACACTGTTAAGGTCCGGGGTTCCATCCTAAAAGGTCAACCTGTTAGGAGGAGTAGTCCGAAGCTTAATATAGCACTCTAATGCTTCTCAATTTTCCGGTGTGGGACATTTAACACCCCTCCTCACGACCAGACACTTCGTCTGGTTCGTGTCGTCATTCATTTTTTCATGGGTTCGTCATTCTTTTTGTCATGTCTTCAGTTTTTCATAAGGGGCCGCACACCATGGATCGATTTGGCTCTGATACCATACCGCCACCACCGGACTGCTGCCGCTACCAACACCCTGCCCCGCCACCGACGGACTGCCCTTGTTGCCCAAGGGAACTAGGGGGGCAATAATTAATTACAATAGGGGTAATTAGGGGTAAAAATTAATGTTTACTCCTATTTGGAGAATTTTAGAAGTTAACTCCTATTTAGGGAAATGTAGTATGTTTTACTCCTATTGGGAGCAATTTCTCCAGACATAAATAATACGATATAGAATACATTTTTTGGAATATTCTTCTAGTATCTGCTTACGTTAATGTACGTTAATGTCTTCTACAAATACTTTAAGTGTGTGGTTTGTGATAATATTCGTCACTCCTCCCAGATATAGTTGTCTCGTCTCCATGGACTTCTGCTGAGTATTATTATTATCCCCAATTGCCCAACTTGAGGCAGCTGGCTGCCGATTCAATCACACGTCAGATACAGCTTCACACGTACCTTTGATCGAACTGTCACCTCCCATCATGTTCCAATCCTTAATCTCCGATCCTTACTTTCTTCACAATTCATTGTATCCACCCATTCTAACTAAGATTTCAAGAGAAATAGACACTAATATCAGTATCTAATCATGATTGTAAGCTAAGTATTCGTATTCCACACGAGAAGACTTCTAGTAATCAAATGGGAAAGTGAAACTGTACCTATTTTTATGTTGCATTTTATACGTGTACAATGGCGGAGCACGATATAAAAAAGGTTGAATCCTTTTGGGACAATACTTGAATTGAATTGAATAACTCATACGTAGCTAGATGGAATAAATTCTAGTTTAAATGAGACATAATTAAAGAATTATAAGTTTGATATATACTATGTGGAATAAACACTACTTTAAATACTAGCTAATGAATAAATAAGATGTTATTTTTAACATTTAGGAATGTAACTTTTGTTACGAATCAAATTTCATCCATTTCAAGTTTAGATGTTGCTGATTTTCAAAAGTCATAACTTAACTCGTAATAAGTTATTAGAACCATAATATATCATATCAAAGATATTTCAGAGTTATGAATTTTCAAATTTTCAAGGGTTCGGCTGTCCCCCTGCCCCTATATGTCAAGTTAGGTCATAGAAATCGTGTTTGCGTGAAGAAATTTATCTGAATGTCGGTCAAATGCTTATGCCATACAGACACCCGATAAAATTTATTTATTATTTATGTTGCACTCTATGGAATTGCATTATGTTGACAAAAATAAGCAAGTGTGTACATTCATAAATCATTGAATTGTGTAACTTGTTGGAAAAATGTGTTAAAAAATGCATTAAGTGGTCATTTTGGGGCAATTTTGAGTGGGGTCCACTTCCAATTTGGGTCGGGTCAAAGTGGTTTCGGATTGTCCTTGCTATGAGCTACAATTCGATATATGGTACACTCAAAACGGATAACGGGTGAATGAGAAATTGATTCTCGAAGTTTACCATTGGAATGGAAAAACTGGGAAAAAGTATGAGTTTCTAGTGTGTTAATTTCCCACACCGGAAAACCCAAGGGATTTGCAACGCCTTATAAAGGGAAGCCTCTTTTAAGGAGTTAATATTCCTAAGGTGAAAGGCTCTCTTTGCACGCAGGGGGTGCAAATCAAATCCCGAAAACGAAGAAGAAAAATCGCGATTTGCGTACGCGGGCGACTTGCGGACACGAATGTCGTCCAAAAAATCTATCTCCCAAAGATACGATTTAATTTTTGTTTCTTCCCATAACGTTTTATTTTTTCTCAGAACTGCTGCTCGGACAGAACATTTCTTCCGCAACAGAACTGCTCAGACAGAAGTCCTCTGCTGCGGACCACGGACAGAAGACCTGGGGGTGTTCTGTTCTGGTCGCGCACCAGAACAGTTCTGATCCATTACAGCAGTTAATGTCCAACGTTCTTATCTTTTAATGCGTCTTTAAATGGACAGTTTTATGACATATTAATGCCCAACGTGCTGGTCATTTATGTCCAACGTTCAGGTCCATTAAAGGTCACTTAATACACAACAAATCCTCCTATGAATTGGCTAGCAGGTGATTTACAACAATACACATTTCACAAACGAACTCACGTATTTCTGAGCACTGAAAAACACCTCTAGCATTCCAAAAATTCCCTTGTGTTCAGACTTTGTTCCAGTTCGCCGGAACTTTCGTTTGTGTGCTCAAACGATTGTTTGTTAGCCACCGACCACCGTATAATGGGAAACGGTCGTTGCAACGCTCCTTGCACCGTGAGAGGTAACGAATACGTTTTAAGGACATCGTGCGTAGCACGAGCTCTGACTAGTTTTTGCTCCATCTTATTTCTGTTTTTTTGTCATTTTAATTAATTTATTTTTAATTAATTTTCTTTATTTTCCGAAACACACCCAACATAACTTTATTTCTAACAAAATCCATTTGTGTTTTTTAGTGTGTAAATTATTAAACAAAAACGTTCTATAACCTATATGAAGGATTTTGAAAAAAATAGTTATAAATATTTCCGTTTGTGTTTTTTGTTTTGTTTTGTTTTTTTATGAAGGATTTTGAAGGAGGCTATGCAATGGGTACAGTATAAAGAGAGTGTGTACATAAATAGTTGCTGTATTAAATATCTTCCTCTTCTACAATGTACGTCCGGTCCCTATAAATACTAGCTGCCCCAAACCCAAACTACATATGTCCCACAACAACACTCACAATGATATCTCTTCTACATATAGATATTCAAGAAAAACAAAAGAAGATCATACCGTTATAACTCCATTGTACTAATTATAATCAATTAGTGTGCATGATCGATCTAATTGATTAATTAACAGTTTGCATCATATCCTAGAGATTGAGATACAATGGAGAAAGATGGTTGTAGTAAGGATATTGAAGGCTGTAAGGACGGATTGGAGGTTCCATTCCTTCATGACTATTCATCAAAGATGGATGAGAACAATAAAGGGTCTGTCTCCATGGTGGTTCTCAGCACTTGTGTTGCTGTTTGCGGCTCTTTTGAATTTGGTTCTTGTGTGAGTATTTCTTTCCTCTTTCTTCTTCTTGCTTAATTAATTTTTCTTAATATCTTTCTTAAAATTTGGGTTTTTTAGAGCACTCTCATACTACATTTACTTGATTGTATAGAGACATAATAGAGATTTACATACATATATATATATATATATTTTTTTTTTAGATTTACATACATATATTCATGTAGTAGTTATATCTCGAGAGAATTTGACTTACCCCCATGTTTTGAGCAATATTAAACTTTGTAACCCAAAGTCTTTAAACTTTGCACCTCACTCCATAATTGTTGAGCTGATGGGGTGCAAATATTAATGATTTTCATAATGGGATGTAAAGTCTAATATTGCCCAAAGTGTGAAGGTGCAAAGTCTAATAATATTGCCCAAAATGCGGGGGCAAAGTCAAATTCTCTCTTATATCTCTCTAATAATGTGACACTTTTGATACAATTTGAGAAAGTTAGATCCCTAGTGGGAGTAAGACCATTATTTTCTTAAGTAAAAATGCCATTATTTTCAATCTACCATGATGTGGCGTTAGCGATCTTAACAGGTCTTCATAGACTGGTCAGTTCTATGTCTCACACAGGGTAGCTCTGAGCTATTGATTTGTGTATCTTGTCACTTCCATTTTACAAATAAATAAGTGTTCTTCTTTAAACAAAATAGATTTATTCAAGATGTATTTTTTTTATTAATCTATTGAATAGGTTGTCAAAATCTTAAATATTGATCGAATCGGTGGACGGTTTTAAAAAGGGGTTTCTACGAGAATATTACTAAAATAAAACTTATTTACATAAATATGACTATTCATTACTACAACGTAGTGCTGTGGTAACTAAAGTTCAAAACTTGAACATAAATTATTATGATTTCATTACTACTCTAGTAATGAATCATATTTTTGTAAACTATCTTTATTTTGGTCATATTTATGTAATTATTTCTTTTAAAAATCGAATCGTTAAATCGAATCGCAAATTGTAAGATTTTATGAGATATAAGTAAATAAATATCTAAAATATATTAGACAACAAATTAAGACCAAGTAAGTCATACGGAGTATTTGGAAAGCATACATACTGGAAATATTTTAGAAGTTTATCCACGGTTCATTCTTATTTTTTTTTGGACAAATTCTTCGCAATTTACTATCTTACAGAATTGCAAACTCTAGCTTACTACTAGGACCAAATAAATCATAGTAACATAATGATTAACTTTGATATCATGTCAAGGTTTGTAATTCTAGCTACAGTTTTCTACATTTTACAACTTGATCTATAGAAGAATTGAAGTTTCTGAGTTTACAATTAGTAGGAAAAAAAAGATACTCCCTCCGTCCCCAAAACAACTTCCCAGTCACTATTCATTGGTCAACTTGAATCACTCGTAATTTTTTACTTTTTATATCAAATTTTTATCAAATTTAAATTTTATTGATCAGGCTTTGTAGCGGTTTTAATGTAGTTTCTGAATATGTAAATTTTATTTACTAAAAATAATCCGAGTGTGAGCAGGGATCGAGTTGCTTTATCGTCAGTCAAGCATCGTAAACCGAACGGGAAGTTAATTTTGGGACGGAGGTAGTACGTTTTTATAAGCCTGTATTTCAATTTTGCAGGTTGGTTACTCAGCACCCACTCAATCTGCCATTAGGACAGAGTTGGATTTATCAATCGCACAGGTTCGTTGTTTTACTGCTTTCGTTCTGATGAAAATTCCATTTTTCGTCGAGTAAAATTCTAGGTATGCTACTTTCTTTTGTAAAGGTATTTTTTTTATTCGGCGGACTTTACTTTGATTTTGAATTCAATTATATTCTCTCTGATAAGCATGGATTTGACACCAATTTTAAGAATAAAAAATAAATTGAGTGTATTGTAATTCTAATTTTCAAAAAATAAGATTGAATTCACATAATATAAAAAGTGAAATAATAGATAAATCCATAAACAGCTAATGAATCTCAATTTAGAAAATTTTAGATCTTTTTTGAACAACTTAAAAAGTGAAAAGGATGTATATCTAATAAAATCAGGGAGATCATATTTATTCAACCATGCTTGTTGTACTTACCCACCACTTTATACTCACCTTATACCCACCTCTGTGAAAGCTATTTTTTTTGTCTGTGAAGCCGGTTCACAGACAAATATGTCTTTGAATTCCTTCACAGACATATTTTGTCTATGAAGGAATTCACAGACAAAAAAAAAATAACTTCACAAACATGGGTGGGTACAAAAGTGGGTATAAAAGTGGGTACAAACATCATTTTTTCCATATTTAGAGCCCGTTTGGAGAACTCTGTTTTCGGCTTATCAGGCTTATCAGTCAGCTTTTTCACCAAACACGTAATTTTTACTTTCGCGCGCTGAATTGTGTAATAAGCCGAAAAAGTAAGGTTGGAGTTACTTTTCTGGCTGTATTGGCTGAAGTTACTGTAGAGGACCATTTTAGCTATTTTTACATATAATTTTTTCTTTAATTTATTAATAAAATATATTTTTAAAATATTTTTTTTCTTAAATCAGCAGAATCAGCCAAAACAGCCACTCCAGCCAGAATATCATAAATTTCAGCAGAATCAGCCAAAACAGCCGATTTTGGTGCTACCAAACGGGCTCTTATTTAACAAAATTATTGGAATATTCCGCGAATCTCAGTATCACCGAAGGTGGGAACAACGTAATGACTCTACCAAGACATAATGTCCCATTTCATTTTGTTTTGTTTACCTGTTTTTTTGGAAAACTTTTGTATTTTATTACATATACTACGTATGTATGTGTTATTAAAATTCTAAATACTTCTTCATCATAATATAAAGTCTTATTTGTAATTCATGCCGCTCAATTAATGTCATTTCTTTTGTGTGTAGCAAAGAAAAAATTCCATGAACAAAAATGGTCTAGAATCATGATGATGGATTATGTTGACTTATAAAAACATATACTCCCTCCGTTTCTAAAAGAAAGTCACGGTTTGACTTCACGATTATTAAGGAGATAAATTGACTTTACTGTAGAAAACACTGTTCAGACACTGTTTGGCACTGTTTGGCATTGTTAGGCACTGTTTGGCACTGTTTGGATGTAGATTTCTTTGCCAAATAAGGAAATAAGGGAAGTGTGACTTTTATTTTGGCACATCCAAAAAAGGAAAGTGTGAGGTTCTTTTAGAAACGGAGGGAGTATTTTAGAAAACTTTAAATAAATTTAACAATATATGAAGTTAATGTGATTAATGTTGACGGAAGGGGGAAATAGTCTGAATAACCAAATCTCAAGGGATAAATAAATGATTTTAAAAAATGCATAGTTAAATTAGTAATTTTGACCTGACCTCTGGGACTAATAGTAATTATCCCTAGAAATTTGTTTGTAAAAAAATTCTTTGTAAAATAAAGCAGTTCCTTTAGTAATTAACTTAGGAGGATAGTTGCATGTGTATAGGGGTGGGATCGGGATGATCCCGATCCCGATTGCCCAAATCCCGATCCCGTCCCGATCCCGATTCAAACTAAAAGAGGATCCCGTATCCCGTCCCGATTAAGTCGGGATCCCGACATTAAAATCCCGATTAAGTCGGGGTCCCGATCGGGAATCCCGCTTAATCCCGCTAAATCCCGACAATGAAGTATCAAACATAAAATTATGTAATTTCTTAAGTTAAACACTAACTTTGATATTTAATGGTTTCAATATTATTCTTTGTTTACTGTTATACCATATTTATCATCATCTACTTATAAAAGTTATTGTAATAATTATCATCTCAAACTCACACTAGTATATACTTCTAGAATAATTTTTATGTGTAACTTCAATTAATTAATAGTATAATTTTTGAATAAGCTATCAAGGCTTAGTGAAACTTACTTCAAACAATATATAAAAAACACTAAAAGAAGGATATGTAATGTATATTATTTAAAATTCAAAACTAAGTAGACTCATTGAGAAACTTTGTGACCAATGAATATAATATGTAAATACATATTATGATTATCTACTAAAGAAAGAAATCTTAGTCTCGATCACAATTTTTTAAAGAGTTCATCAGAACCGCAAAATTTGTAATATTGTATGTTGTGATTTAGATTGTTGGGATCAAGAATAATCTCTACTTAGTTAGGATACCGAATATTCATTTTCGGACAAATGCCGAATAGTTTTAGAAGTTTGATATTGTAAGATACTCGTAGTAAAAGATTAATCTATGTAAGGAATAAGTAATTAAAAAAGATGTGCAAATATTTAGATACATATTCATTTTTTATATATTCATATATAATTATATACATGTATATATATATAATTATATATATATATATATAATGTCGGGATGTCGGGATTTTCCCGATCCCGACTTTTTTTTAAAAAAAAATCCCGGTCCCGTCCCGACTTAGTCGGGATCGGGAAAATTTCCCGACTAGTCGGGATCGGGATTTTCGGGATCGGGATTGTCGGGATCGGGATCGGGAGTCGGGAGTCGGGAGTTTTTTCCCAGCCCTACATGTGTATCTCGTGCTTGTTTTATTCCAAAAATCAATAGGAGTACATAACATATTATTTTCCTATCCTCACATATATATTTGTAATTTGCTTTAATTGTTATCAATTTAGATCTTATATTATTATTATACCATTTCAGTTTTCCATGTTTGGCTCTATTATAACCATTGGAGCAATGATTGGTGCCGTTGCAAGTGGAAGAATTTCAGACTTGGTTGGTAGAAAATGGGTATGAAAACTTCCTAAACTTACCTGCAAAAAGAATTTAATGTAGTTAAGAAAACTTCCTAAAATTACTTGCAAAAAGAAATTACTGTAATTAAAAAAACTTAAATAGTTAAATGAAGATCCGTTGTCTGATTCTATATTATACCACAGGCAATGAGACTGTCGGCAGTGATATGCATTTATGGGTGGCTTGCCATTTATTACTCCATGGTAAATGAGTAATATTTGACCTTTTATCTCTATGAAATATATATTTTACTTATTTTGAGGGTGAATTGAACCTTAAGTATTTTGTATTGTTATTTTGTAACTAGATCATGGCAATCTAAATGTTGATAAATAAAACACTACTTTTGGTGGTAACTAAAGGGATCATGGTCACTTGATGCCGGTAGGTTCTCCACAGGATTCGGCATAGGAATATTCTCTTATGTGGTGAGTTCATATATTTAAAACATTCATATATGTATATGTATATATAATATTATAATTATATATATATATGGGGAGAGTTCAAATAAAAAGTACTCTTCCCGTGCAAAGTGCGAAAATTGCACTTTTACACGTTTTGCTTGCACTTTTGCGTGTTTTCGTAGCACTTTTTCGCCTTTTCGATTTTGTATAAATTCGGCCAAACCTACGGTGGCAGTTTTGTAAATAAACCAATTTTTTCCGCCAATGTGAAAAAGTGCAACGAAAATAAGAAAAAGTGCAAGCGAAACGTGTAAAAGTGCAATTTTCGCACTTTGCACGGGAAGAGTACTTTTTATTTGAACTCTCCCCTATATATAGAGTACTCTTCCGGTCAGGAATTCCTGACCGGAACCTCCGTCCGGACGGCGGCGTTTGGCCGCCTTCCGGGTGGAATTTTTCAATGAAATTTTTATGACATGTTTTCCATCAAGTCTAGTTTATCCACAAAAAATTTCAGCCAAAAACTCATTCGGGAAGGTCGTCAAATGATTTTTGCAAGTTAACTGGTCCGGAAAATACATATTCCGGACCAGTTAACTTGCAAAAATTATTTGACGACCTTCCCGATTGAGTTTTTGGCTGAATTTTTTTGTGGATAAACTAGACTTGATGGAGAACATTCCATAAAAATTTCATCAAAAAATTCCACCGGGAAGGCGGCCAAACGCCGCCGTCCGGACGGCGGTTCCTGTCCGGAATTCCGGACATGAACTTTTGTCTATATATATATATATATATATATATATATATATATATATATATATATATATATATATATATATATATATATATAACTCAATATTATTATAATAACTTATTTACTTCATTGGCTATTGTGTTATAATTTTTGCAACTCCAGGTTCCTGTATTTATAGCTGAAATTGCTCCCAAGAATCTTCGTGGTGGGCTTACGACGATTAATCAGGTGACAAAACTTCAGACTAATTTAATTTGTCATAGGAGGAGGAGCTCAAAGCTATGTCAATTGTGTGTATATCTGGCAGGGGCAGTTATAGTACATTTTTACAGAGTCCCACATTGCGGTTATACACCGGGTTGACTATATATCATGATTATACTTAAAGACTTAAAGTTAGGAGTTCCATTGGTTAATTGATAAAATGAGTAGCCCAAAATCTCATCATTTCATGTCTACCTTATTTGGAACACTTCCTTCTAACATTTTGGAGTTTAACTTGTAGAGTTTAGCAGTTTAACTTGATAGCAGAGCAGTACACTGTCTTATATTTTCATCGTTTTTATTTTTCCTATCTAGCCAATGTAAGATCATTCCCTCAACTCTACTGTAATTAACTTTGAGCTTTATGAAATGTTGTCTTGATATGCATGTAGCTTATGATTGTTTGTGGCTCATCAGTTTCATATCTACTGGGGGCTGTTATGACCTGGAGATATTTAGCACTCATTGGTAAGATTTTTCCCACCTATACTAGTACAGTAGTACATACAGAGTTTGTTTTAATGAGTATGTATTACTCTTTTTGCAGGAATTATTCCATGCATGTTCTTGCTTGTTGGTTTGTTCTTTATCCCAGAGTCACCTAGATGGCTGGTAGGTATTTCTCCCCAATTATTCATCTTCTACCAATGACATGAAATTGGGGATCAAACAAGTGACTATTGGTATGCATTTTCAGGCAAAAGTTGGCCGTGAGAAAGACTTTGATGCTGCGCTGCAAAAACTTCGGGGGGCAGATGCAGATGTCACTAAAGAAGCTGCAGAAATCCAAGCATATGTTAAGAGTCTCCAAAGTCTGCCCAAAGCCAGAATCCTCGACTTGTTTGGCACCAAATACATTCGTTCTTTATTTGTAAGCGTGCAATCAACTCATCATTTATCTGTATGAGTTTTCCTTTTTTACTGGGGATTTCCTTGATGAAAAATGTTTAATTTTCAGATCGGTGTGGGATTAATGGTCTTCCAACAAGCGAGTGGCATAAACGGGATCGGTTTCTATGCTAGTGATACATTTTCGGCCGTTGGTAATTGACTTTTTATTGTTTGGTACATCTTGAATTTAGCAGTAATGTTAGAATACAGTCAACTATTACTTAGAAACTCTATCTTAATAGATTAGCATGATACTTGAATAGGACATAATTCAAGACTTAAGGAGAGTATTTGGATCTTTACATCTGAAGTATGTGAGATAACTTAACATGTCTAGCAATATGGTAATTCATTGGAACCTATCAATTCTGGCATCTATCTACTCATTAATGCATATATCAATGTATATATGCTAGAGTAAAGTCAATTATATGTGCTTCGAGTTTAGTTAACTCTAATTTCGTATTAATATTTGAGATTCCATATTAAAAGATCAACTTAATTGTACTAGTCAAACATTCTACTAGTATATGTTAGTTTTGTGCCTATATATGATATGATATGATATTTTGAGATGCTTAACAGAATTATTAATTAGGACTAGCTTCGGGTGAAAATTGCATGCAGGCCTTTCGAATGGAAACACGGGGACTATCGCCTATGCTATTGTGCAGGTATGAAAATGATATTTATTCCCTAGCATTAATCAATACTCCGTGTTTCTGGGGAGGGGGGATTCTCGCCTCTGTGACTCAGCTGCGGATTCGACCAAATATATTTCAACAGGTCCCTATAACTTTGGTCGGGGCAATGTTGATGGACAGAACAGGAAGAAGGCCACTTCTTTTGGTAATTCTTATTTATCTTATTCCTGAGCATTTTATTTTTAGTTGTGCTTTTTTTGGATGGGTTATTTTTTAAACACTTTATTTGCATACTGGTAATAAGGTTTCAGCCACAGGAACATTTATTGGCTGCTTTCTAACAGGAGCTTCTTTCTATCTCAAGGTAATTGATAAAGTATTTGAGCTCTATGTAGCATATAAATAATTTGGACCATAAATTTAAACTATGTAACTTAGGGGGTCGAGCGTTTCTTGATAATGCACAATGCATTTTGTCAGTCTGACATATCTTTAAATAAAAAATGGGACTTTTTTGAAAAAAAAAAAGAAATTGTACCGTCTTATTGATAATGTAATAAAACTACATTCAAGATTATATGTTACTTTGAGGTCAGACATTCTAGGATAGATACTCAAACTTTTAGTATGGTATCTGTCTCGGGTGGTTTATTTGTTTGTTTGACACCTTTTATGTCAGCTATGTTGACTCATCCTCATCCTCAACCGGTTTGGACTGAGAGGCGTGTTTAAGTTTTCACTCATATCAGTTAATTAACACGTTTCATTAACATGTTTCATGATTTTCTCAGGGTCAAAGTCTGTGGATTAATTTGGTTCCAGCAATGGCTGTATCTGGAGTGCTGGTAAATTATTCCTATAATATCTAGACCTGTCAAATAGAGGCTATCTTGGATAACTAGATGAAACTTACACAGTACAATTCATTGTATTATAATTGTGAGCAGATATATATAGCAGGATTTTCAATTGGATTGGGAGCAGTTCCCTGGCTTATAATGTCTGAGGTATTTTTAGCCTTTTCAGATCAACATTCAAGTTCTTCGGCCCGACACCCTTTTTTCTTTCTTGATTGACCTCGGCCCAAATAAACCCTTGAGTTTTTTTAAAATCTTTTAGATATTCCCCATTCACGTAAAGGGTGCTGCTGGAAGCCTGGTTGTTCTGATTACCTGGTTGGGTGCATGGGTCGTCTCTTATAGCTTCAGCTTTATGATGGAATGGAGTTCCACTGGTAGGCTGACATTTTGACCTTAATATACTTTGTTTAACTTTTTCTATATAAAATAAATAGAAAATAATGTCAAATAATGTGCTTAAAGCGTCCTTAGGCGAGTTGGGACCCAAAATATTTGGACTCTTAAGTCACAAAATAGACCAAATCAGACGTAAAGAAGCTCGAATATTTCAAACAATACAAGTTCATAAAGAAGAAACCACTAACTTCGTAAAGAAAACAATTGATTAGTTGTTGACATGTTTGTATGAAGTTCTTTGTATGTTTCATTCGCAGGTACTTTCATGGTTTACGCCATGTTTTGCTTGCTGACAGTGTTGTTTGTGGCAAAAGTTGTACCAGAAACCAAGGGGAAAACCTTGGAGGAAATCCAAGCAGCTATAAATTCATAAAGTATGTAGTAGCGTTACCAAGTAAGCAAGCAAATTGTTTTTGGAATTCTTCACCCGAGTCAAGAGCCTCAATGTGCCATTGCACTGAAGTTCTGAAGTGGATTCAAAGAGTTGATTCAAAGATGTGTAGAGTGTGGAGAGGATTGCAGTGTTTAGATAAGAAAAAAGTTCAAATTTGTTGACGACACATTTCACTTTTTTCTTTATAATAGCTAAACTTAAAAGATGTTGTTTTTATTTGAACTTATTTTCGTTTTAGACCATATCAGGTTAGACTTAAACAAACCAGATCGGATTTGAACAGACCAGACCTCTATAGTTGTAAATTACACCAAGACCAGTCTGACCAGTCATCTACCAAACAAGTTCAGACAAGATCAAGTCAGACAAGATCAAGTCAGACTAGACCAAAAAAATTCAATCCAAATAAAAACATCCTAAATAACGATTAACTTGAGAAATTCAAAATTTTCACCTTTTGTTAATGATGCACTATTACCTTTATCTAATGCAATTTTACATGATAACAAAAAAGTTTCAAATAATTGTGAAATTATCACCAAATCATTCGTCATTTCTTTAGCATGTTTGACACTTTTTATGTGAGAAATAAACTTTAACATATTAAAAGTCACTAAGTCACATTTTTATCTGTCAATTTTCCATAAATAACATTAGTGAATTTTTAATCATAAAATTTCAGGAATAACATTTTTGTCCATCAATTTTCCAGAAGTAATATTATCCATCAATTTTTGTTCTAATACTAGTGGATTGGTTTATTTCGATCACAAAACCATTCAACACGCAAAATAAAAAATCACATGTTTAGTAAAAGAGAGTAACAATGGTTTGATAAGTTTGATAAATCATAAACATGAGTTACCAAATGAAGTCTAAGAATCATGTGATTGACATTTGTGTAAAATGAAAAAGTAAAAATCACAATTACGTTAAATAGAAAATGACAAAACTTTTTAAGCAACTAAAAATACTTAGTTGTTTCACAGCACTAACAACATTTAGAGCTCATTTGATGGCTCTAGAATGGACTGAATCTATTGAAATTGGCAAATTTCCGATTGAAAAAGCTAAATTTGATGAAATATGAATAACCTATATCTAAAGTATACTTTAATAATATTCCGCAAAGTAAACAACAAAAACCAGATCATGAATCACAACATGACATCAGAGCCAAAAAAGAAAGAAAAATAAAAATGAAATAAAAGATCAGGTACGATAGAAAATATAATTTAAAATAGAGATAAAATATACATAAAATGAAAAGATAAAAATTATAAAAGGAATACACACACATGTATATATAGGGTGCAGATCAATTAAAAATCACTCCTCTCGTGAAAACTACAAACCATTCACTTTTTCCACAATGTGATGTACTATTAGATTTCTATGTTGCACTTTTTTCGCATTAATAGAAAACTTTGACTTATTTACAAAATTGTCACAAGATTTTTTTATTTAGCATGGTTCGATCGAAGTTCAAAAAATACAATAGATCACCCTTAAAGTGCGTCACTTTGTAGAAAAGGTGAACAATTTTAAGTTTTCACATAAAGAGTGGTTTTTATTTGATCTGAAACCTATATGAGTATAGCTCCAGTGAGAACACTCCTTAACGTAAAAAATGAGAATGCCACAAAATGATGCACTTTTTCATTCATGACAATGCACATTTATAATTAAAGTAATGCAAAGTTCATGCGTGAACATTTACCTTTAAACTTCTGCATAGTTAAAATTCACATTTGCCAAATTTTTATATGCACATTTTTGTTTTACATGATACATAATATCCAAATCCAGTGCTCCTGAATCATTTTCATTTCTCTCCTAAGATGGTATTCTCATATGATCCTTATTGTGTGTGTAACAGATAAAAGAATAAAAAGTATAAGAAAGAAAAAGAAGATAAAGGAAAAAAGATGATAAGATATCAATCGGCCACATGAATACCGCCATCCACTTTGTTTTTCTAAAAAGTCATACTCTCGTCTATCCCAAATAGAAGCATATCACTCCTAACTCATCTAATCCATTGTTATTTGGGTCTTCATCTCCCTCTCCCTCTCTTCCTGGTCTCTTCTCCAAACCTATCAACTCATCCAACAGGTGCATCACTCGATCTTTTAAGCACATCACCAAACCACCACAATCGAGACTCCCACATCTTATCTTTAATATGTGTTACTCCCACATTTTGTCTGCTTGTCTCAATCCTTAAGCATTCTTTTATAGAATGTCCATACATCCAATGCAGCATGCACATTTTTGTCGCTCTCATCTTTTGAATGTGACATTGTTTTACCGATCAACACCCACACCATACAGTAATGCACGCTTAATTGATTTCTGATAAAATTTATTTTTCGTTGAGTTATCATATCTCGATCATATAGAAATCCTGACACACTCTTCCATTTCTTATATCCACATGTTCTGATGATATGCGATAAATCTTCAACTAATTCATCATCTTTCTAAATCATGAATCCCAAGTAATGAAACATATCAATGATTGGTATCTATTTACTATCTAGAGTAATTCCACTGTTACCACTGCTTCCACCCCCACCACACTTGCACTCCATGTACTCAATCTTGCTTTGACTCAATCTAAAATCCTTGTTCTCTAATGCATGTCGTCATACTTCCAATTTTGCTTCAATACTTGATTGCGTTTTATCAATCAGTACAATATCGTTGGCAAACATCATGCACCATGATATAGCATGTTGAATATTTGCACCAATGTTAGACTCAGAGCTGATCATTGTGCACTCCGGTACTAATAGCTATGGTATTTGTCGAATTTTAATCAATTCAATCAGAATATTAACTCTCATCTTATTTATTTTGAGTATTGCACAGTTCATAAGCCCTAAGACATGAGTTATCAAAGGAGCACTAAATTTCTAACGGCAACCTATTTAAATTAGTTTGTTTAGGAAAAATAAAAGTATATCATCTATTACATAATTAACATACATCATACAGTGAATTTGACACAAGTTACAAGAAAATAATGAATAAATATAAAATAACTGGCTTACCATTCTAGCCTTCAAAAATAAGAAGAAAAAAAACAATTCCATTAATTTAAAATGTGAAATAATACTCCGTAGATAAAGAGACAAAGAACTTATTTACGCACTTACTCTGTACATCTACTGATTGGGCAAGAGGGATAGTCCAAGGACAGCTGGATATTTGTTTTTGAAATAGAACGGATCGAGGTGCACGTGAGAGGGTAAATGGGCTGATACGATTACACGTCAGAGACAGCTTAATCCTACCTCACACTCTCATATCTCCACCATTATCTTTCTTGGAACGCGTATCTCTATTCCTTATCATTGGAAATTAATCAACTAGAGTGCTTGGTCTACTCCAAATTTGTATACAAGGTGTATACAAAGTGTACACGGTCATTTGGACAGAAAATCCTGTTATTTTTTAAATGAATTGTCTATGTACACAAGCAATTAAGGGGAATGTGTATAAATTGGGATACAAATTGATGTACCTATAACATTTTTGAATCAATGATAGGGACGAAGATTGGAGTTGAGAGAAGGTTTGTTTTACTTTATTATACTCTTAATTAGAGTCTGTTTGGTAACACTGAAATCGGCTGCTGAAATTTATGAATTATGACCGAGATGTTGTATTGGTTGATTATGCTGATTTATGAAAGAATGATATTCAAAATATAATTTATTAATAAAATCAAGAAAAAAGTATATGCAAAATACCTAAAATGGTCATCTACAATTAATTCAGTCAATACAGTCACAAAATAACTCTAACCTTACCTTAGTTTTTCTCATTATTACACAATTCAGAACACAAAATCAAAACATACGTGATTGGTTAAAAAGTTGGCTGACAAACCAAATAAACCGAAAACAAAATCACCAGATCTAAATAAATTTATCACATGATTGATATAGAGTATTATTCAAGTGGGTTTCAGTTAAAACAGTTGTACTGCCGAAATCATATGAATTATTAAAAAATAAAATACACATTAATAGGTTTAAGAAATATTTATACGAAAAAGACTAAAAGACCCTTTCAAATTCAACTATCAAAGTAAAACACTAATAAAAGGTGTTGTTTAATTAACTTTAATCTTATTTTTATTTTAATCAGATTACACATAAATATAGATGTATATCTTTTTTACTCGCATAAAAGTATGCGATTGATGATTGTGAGAGGGGAAAAAATTGAGTAGGAGCATGAATTAATCGCTTTAATGGGAAATTAACAAAAATTTAGGACGATTATAAAAGGAAAGTTAGTGGAGTCTAGATTAATCAAAGTAATTGGTGTCTACTTATTGCTTAATGCAGATTGGAGGGATCAAAGAGCTCCCTGTACTTGTCATTAACTCAAATTGATCTAGACACCTTTAAGATAAATCAAATTGTATTGCCTCTCTCTCATTGGATATTATCAACTTTCTATTATATGTGAAACAAGAATAAAAATGGTACAATTGAAAGTTAAGCATGTAAGAAAGAAACATATAGAATTACAATTTTTTTATCGTCAAAACGGATGGCTTAAATTGGTATTACACCATTCAAATAGGGGGTAAAACGACAAAAGGATCACAAGCAACCGTCAGCTCTCGAACCAGACTTAGAGTCAATCACCTCCAAAAAGCAATATAATTCGCCGATCCTATAATGGGCATAAATGAGTCAACGACGGTTAAAGCAGACCTCCCATCACCGAATCCTAATGCAAGAGTCTTACACCTATAAAAGTAACCAACAGAAAAATAAACAGACTGATCATGAAAAATAAAAAGCAAGCAAACAGTAAAATTAAAAAACTGTTTCCAAACCCTAAATTCTCTGGCACTCCATGGCGGCGGTTCAGGAGGGAGACGGTCCAAGTGTCCAACGGTACTGTAGCTTCTTCCGCTCCTTGCCTCCAGTCTAGATCTGTTCCAGCACCCAGCTCCACGCTTCGTCCATGACATTGTGATCTCAACCATGAACGACATTCTTGAAACCCTCCACCTGCTGCCAGGGGTACACAACCTTTGGTCGCCATATAGGCACTGCAGTCTGCCGAAGAAGAGAGCCCCACGAAAGGCAGACGAAAGTCGCACTTCGGCGAAGACGAAAGCGGATAAAACAACCCCTCAACTTAGGGGAGATGACCGCTACTTGCTTTGCCTATGCCTCTGAAACTTCGATCGGCA